ACATGTCTAGATTCAATTCTTTCTTCTTCTTCTTTTTTTTTTTTTTCCAAGACAGGGTTTCTCTGGAGTTTTGGAGCCTGTCCTGGAACTCACTGTGTATGCCACATTGGCCTAGAATTCACAGAGATCCACCTGCCTCTGCCTCCCGAGTGCTGAGTTAAAATGAAAGGCGTGCATCACCACCACCCAGCATGCTCCAATTCTATAAGCAGTAGAAAATGACTAGGGTGGTTTTCATGTTCACTGTTGCTGTACAAGTGTCTGAGGCGATCAGAAAAAAGTGACCACGACATGGTCCAGTACTTACAAGGACTGGTTGATTTTATCAAAATACATAGCTCAAGGATTAACCAAAGAGAAAGACAACCAAGCTGTCTCCAGCTCTGGTGGAACCTCTCAGGAACTCCAAGAAAGCAGTTACAGAATTTGAAATTTAGAGATATTATGGATTATAAAATGATAAACAAAAGTAACCCCGAGGGGCCGGGCATCCTATTACACTCTGGAGGGGCACTGGGTGCTGCCCACAGGGTTACAGGAGCTGGTAGCCACTATCATCTGGCCATACAACTCATCTGGGTCGGGCAAGGAGGGAGACTAGGATGTGTGGTTCCCAATTTTCCCTACTTCTATTTTGTTTTAATGAGATATAAGTATGGTATAGGAAAGCCAAAAGCGATGGGAAAAACATGATTTTACATAAAAATGAAAGGGAACACAAAGCAACAGGGTACTTGTAAAAATCATGATTAAAAATACAGCCATTGTTTTTAAACTGAAAGCATTTTGAAAAGTTAGTGAGAATGTACTTGAGACTGACTTACTTTTAATTTTTTCAAATTATATTTTATCTATGCATTGTGTGTTTGTATGTGTGCGAGCTCGTCTGGGATCAAAGAACAATCTGTAGAGTCGATTCTCCCCTACCACGTGAGTTCCTGGAACTAGCCAGGTGGTGAGGCCTGGCTTCCGTGTTCCACCAGCTAGCTGGAGACTAATGTTTTAAAAGCCCTACTCTCAATCTCACTGTTTTGTGGATCTGAGGAGGTAACTCAGTTACTCTCCTCACGTGGGGCAAGCCTTCTCCCACTGATCCATGCTACGGTCTCAGCGACCACCAAGGGAAAGGATCAATGCTTTACTCTTTAGCCATCTTTTGTGACCATGCATTTAAACATCCTCGCTAACGACCTTTATTTAAAAACAGAGACACAGCCCATTAAATGCACGGGTTGAGTCTGAAAGTGCCAAAGGAAATGTGGAAGCAGAAGCACAAGCAGCCATCCTCACAGACAGGTAACCTGGCTTCTTTGGCGCATGTGAGGTACAGGATACCATTGCAACATGTTTCTCTGGCACGGTCAGGGTGTGACTACCTCCTCCACAGTAGGAAAGCTGCCTTTCCACTGTGCCCCTAACACTGCCAGTTCTAATGAAGTTCCCCTCATTTCACTTTCTCAGTGTCTGCATGCCTGCATCTGCCTCTCAGCCAAAGGTGGGGAAGATTGTATCTGAGATGAGGTGAGGTGTGTAGGTGTGCCAGAAACTCTTGCAGCCCCAGGGGGGAGAGATGAAAAACTTGCCCTGGCTTCTCACCTTCAGTAACACATCTACCTGGCAAGCTGGCCTCCTAGTACAGACTCTTCCAGAGAGGAAGAGAATGGCCGGCGAAGGGTATTCGTGAAAACATGGAAGCCCCAAGAAAGCATACTTGTGCACACCATGACCATGTAGAAAAACAAGTCCTTCTTTCCCATGTGAAGGGGAGGGCCTGTGTGTGGAGAGGACAGTGGATAGGGAGATAAATCACACTCCAGGCCCATCTGTCCTAACTCACTCACTGCTTACACGTGGAAAAAAAGTTTAGTTAATAAACGCCCCTTGAGTCCAGTGACTTCATCTTGTTTTACTCTGTCTAGGTATCCTTTGGTGACAGGCTGGAAGTACTTTGGAACCGAGAGACCTCGCAGGAGCCTGCCTCAGGCTTCCAGAACCCAGCATTTCTCTTTAGGAGTGAAGGCGGCGGCACGCACGGGTGTTTCTGTATCACAGCTGGCCTTCCACATCAGTTAGTGTTTATGCACAGTGACGCAGCACACAGGTCTTTTGAAATACCTGACCGCGCGAGCAAGGTTCGCTATCGGCAACGTACAATGCTGAGGTTCTTGAGGTTAGCCCGGGTATATCCAGAAATTCTCAGTAAGAAAATAAAGTATGCCTCCAAAAGACTAGATGGATTCACAGTAGGACAGCATTTAGGGAGGAAGGGAAAGCGTGTGGGACCTAGGAAGGGGGGGTAGGCCACCTCCCCAGGCAGACACCTTGGCCTTAGTCTCCCCTCTTGCATTCTCTTTCTTTGCCTTTTTCTGGCCAGCCTGTGGTAAATACCCTCTCTGACTTGCTCCCACCATCCTGGTATCCTGCCTTGCCCCGAGGCTCAAAGCAAAGAACCCTGTCAAGCTAGGACTGATACCCAAGTTTTCAGACTGAAACCTCCTTTCACCTGCTCCAGTATTTGTCACAGATAAAAAGGTAAGGCAGCTGATGAGCATTGGGTGAGATTCACACAGAGAAAATCTTTCCAAAAGTTTTTTTTTCCTTCTGTGTAACAGTCCTAACTGTCCCTGAATTCGGAGATTAGCCTGCCTCTACCGCCAGAGTGCTGGGACTAAAGATGTGTCCCACCATACCCGTCAACTGTTTTTATTTTCATCTCTAACTTTTTCCTGATGCTTTAAGTCCTCAAAGGTAAGATTTTGTAGCAATGTTAGGCCTTTGCGGATTTCAGCAACACATATCCTATAGCTCTTGAGACAGGTCATCAAAAACAGCCTTTCATCTACCTGAACACCCTGGAAATACAGATATAAATAAAGGAGTCTAGTAACTGCTGGGAGTGCAGGACCACAGAGGAACTCGCTGAGCGGCATGGCCAGTAGAGGAGGCAAAGCACAAATGTGCAATTAAAAAACCACACATCCCAGATGTCCTTTTGACTTCTTTTCTGAGGACCACCCTTTTCTCCATTTTGAAAGAACAAAATCTTTGAAGAAAACACACCTGTGGTTTTTTCTTTTTAATTAATTTTCTAATCTTAATGTGCTGTAAATTATTCCATATATGTAATTATATATAGCATATATTACTATATATATAATAATCATACACTATTTATACTTTAATTTGACCAAGAGTCTTCCAAATCCTCAACTCTCTGAACAATGGATAACTTTCCCATTCCCAATGGAATGCCTCATCGAATCCTCATAGAATCTTCAGTTATCCAGTAACTATTCCCATTTTTGAAGTGTCTGATGACTGTTATAATCCTGGATTTTTGGCAATGGTCTGCCCTACAACCTCAAAATCATTTATCTTAATACACACACACACACACACAAACACATACAAGTGTGTATAAATACACACATATATATGTGTGCACGCTCGTGCCTTGAGTTCATGGGCACCAAGTGCATGTGAATACACGCAAGTGCCTTTAGAACCCAGAAGGGGGCATCAGATCAAGGACCCGGAGCTGAGCAGCCATGTTGGTGCTGGTAACGGAACTCAGGGCTTCTGCAGGAGCAGGAGGAGCTGTTTAACAGCTGGGCATTCTCATAGGCCATAATTACGGATCTTTATAACCTAACTTTTACCAAGTACACACTCTGAGATCTACATAAGAAAAGTTATTTATAAATGCATAAGAACCAGGGAAAGAAAAGTTAATTCCAAGATGCAGAGTTTGCCAAGGCAGAAGGCAAGCCTGAGATTTTACTGGGTTGAAGTAGAAACATTTCGGAGACCCCTAAAATGTCTGCTTTAGTGTGACAGTCTTCTTTGTTCAAGAGCAATGGCTTCTATTTTTAGATTTGTGACACTCCTGGGTGTCTCCAGATATCTCCTGAGGTGTTGTAAAGTTCCCTTCACAAAATGCCAAGTAAAATAATTTAAACTCACTAAAAAATATGCCACACATTTGGAGGCAAGGGAGGGAACCAAATGAGCAGGCACAGGACTTCAAAGCCTGATTCTTGTCAATTATATTTAGTCTATGACAACGAAGGAACAGATTAATAAATACAGGAAATTAAAGCAAGATGAGACTGTGGGTTTGTGGCTGGGGAAGACAGGAAAGGGAGCAGTTTAGCTGGGACACCAGGGGAAACTCCTTTATTTACTAAGTTAAGTTACTTAGCAATGACTGGTAATTGGAAACCCACACTCTCCTACCTTGTACTAAAACATCAGTGCCTGCCTTATGGTTGGCATCAAAGGTCTCTATATACGATCAGTTTCTTCAAAATAAACAAACATAGAGCACAGACACTGGACCTGCATAAGAATAACTTAGTTTTGCCAACTTTCCTCTTAGCTTCTGGCTTAGACTGTTAATATGAGGGTGTGAGATTACACAGGTGTTATATCGCACTGCTCGGCAAGAGCCAATCCCTAACTTCCTTGGTTACCAAAAGGTTACTAACTAAAGCCCCATTGTGGGTTTGCCACTGGGAAGCTTGGCTTACAGCCATTCCATTTACTATAGTTTCTAAATCTCCAATAAAGTACGTTTCCTGATGGGCCACTGCCCCGGGCTTCACAGCTTGCTTCATAGAACACCCACTTCACTTATGTGATTAATCTGACCGTGGATCTCTCCAGGAAGAGTCACACACACACACACACACGAGCACTCACAAGACAGCGCCAGAGAAGGCACACATTTTCCTCATTAAACAGGCCTGCTGTTTCTCGCTGGAGAACTTGATTTCAGTGTTTACATTTATTCTTCATATCATTGCCTATTTAGAACCACATTTTGTATGCCAGAAAAATTCCTTATTAAATAATCTCAAACTTTTACCAACCCCGTTAAATAACTAAAGGATATACAAATGGTCCCTCTAAACGAAGCCTTTATAACATACTCCACAGCTGTATGAAGGACCAAACATGAAAGGGAGGGGGTAGAAAGAGGGACAAAGAAGCATACTTGCCTTGTTGGTGGCAGTGGCGCTGGATCCAGGGACCACCGGCACATTCGTCACTTGAACAGAAAGGTAATTATTGTCTATGAGGGGCCAGGCCCCTTCCACTTTGCATGTCTGGAAGTGGTCCTTGAAAGTTCTAAGATGAGGGTCTCCAAATAAGCCGCAGAAAAGGTAATTGGGAGGGCTCTGGTCCCCTCCCCTGTGTTCTCTGACTCCTCCGTGGCCGTGGTAGTTACAAGGGTCATGGGTCACTTCTGGGTTGGTAGAGGATGTGGGTCCATCCTTGGAACAGTTCCGCTGGCTCATGAGGTCACTGATACCTAGCACAGCAGAGTGGTACACCAGGTTGCCGCGGCAGGCTTTTGAAGTTCGCTGGGTGCAGCCGGCATAGGCACGGAGGGCCTTGCAAAACTCGGAGTCAAAGCCATCAGCGGCAGAGTTCAGGTGTGAAGTGAGGGACACAAAATCCGTGGTACATTTCTGGATTCGACACTGAGCTGGCTGCTGGCAATCACCTGTGGGAAAAAAGACCAAGCACGTAAACGCTTCATCACTTCCAGGTATCATGAGAAGATGCCATTCTCCCCTGGGAACTGTCTAGTCTATCTCAGACTCCTATTTAAGGCTGTAGTGAGTTGCCATGTCTTGCAAATTAAGCCACCAGGAGAAAAACTGGATATGGTTAACTGAAAACTTTAAAGCTTGGGGTTTGGTGACTGAGCATGAGTCTAGTCTAGGAATGTCTCTAGGTTAGGACTGCAAATGAAATAAATATTGTTTCTTGTTTGCTATTTATTTATAGATTTTTGACAAAGATTCCTCTGTTTTGATTTTTAAAGCTGTATGAGTAATTTGCTTTGGAAAGCACTGGGAGAGATATACTTATGCACATAGCTATGATTAAAGCTTATACAACAGAAGAAGGGCTAAAATTCTAAATTATAGTATGTTTAAAGTATCTCTACCTGATTCTCGTATAGCCACAGGGTATGAAAATCAAGGGGAAAAAATCCAAGTAGTAAGTCATTCTTTTTCCTGAGGTACATTACGAACAAACTACATGCACAGCCTCAACACCCTAGCTTCTGTAAAACCCAAGTACTCTGCTAAAAAAGTGATTCACTTGACCAAGATCCAATTTTACTTCTCTTAACATGTCTGTCATACAGATCTCAAGCAAACCACAAAGCATAAAAAACTTTAAAAAAAGTATGCAACACAAATATATTTCAGAGCATGAGTCAGAGACCTATAAAGTCAAGAATTCCTAGTGTGTGTGTGAACACACACATACACACATGCCTCACTTTCTCTCTTCTTAACAGCTCAGTTGATTAACAGCTTGAAGAAAAAGCTAAAATGAAAGCTCAAGGATGACTGTCCTGTATTAACAAAATTTCCAAATTATCTTGTCACTTGTCTCTCATGACAATTCATGAAACCTCCCAAGTACAAGACAATGGGACAAAACAACACTAGGCCAGTCATGTGTAGCCATCGACTTCATGCTGTATCAAAAGGCGAGACTAGGTTTACTGAAACACTGATTGGGTATTTCAAGTTGGGTAAAATGAACTGCAGTGTACACCTGAGATTCCTTATAGGCGCCTGACCTATGGAAAAGTCTTATTGGTCTTTCACTTTTTAGCAGCTTCCTCTTCTGAAAAACGAGGAAATTGTTATAACAGTTTTGTGGTTTTTCTTCAGGCATAAAATATCTCACATTGTGTATTCTAGAGGGGGGAAAAGACATCAACATTGCTGGACCATTCATTGACTTTTGGCTAGTTTTTGTGTGTTTGTTATATTATGTGTATGAGGGTTCTGTCTGCAGGCATGTCTGTGCACATGCATGCCTGGTGCCCTCAGAGGCCAGATGATGGTGTTGGATCTCCTGCAACTCGAGTTACAGAGGATTGAGCCATTATGTAGGTGGGAATCAAACTAGGAAGCTTGGACGAGCAGTCAGTGCTCTTAACTGATGAGCCATCTCCCTAGGTCCTATTTTTTTTGTTTGTTTGTTTTTCTGAGACGAGGCAGGTCTCATTGACCTGTAGCCCAGACTGACTTTGAACTTGCAATCCTGCATCAGCTTCCAGAATGTTGGATTGCAGGTATATGCCACCAACTACGTCTAATTAAAATCAGTGGGTTATTTAAAAACATATAACTATTTCAATATGTGGATACAGTAAACTTTAGGGTATCGACACCTAAAACTTCATCTGATAAAAGATATCATGTAGTAATCCCTATATTGACTTAGAAAGGTGATTCAGAATGGATATTTTTAAATTTTACTGAAATGGTAAACTGTTTCTCGCTTTAGTTGGGGAGAAGTGTTGGGAGATAGCAGCCTGACATCTTTGTGAGATTCCAAAGACCTGGAGAAGGAAAAGAATCAGTTGAATCTTCATTTTTCACTTTTACCAGAATAAAGGAGATTAAAATTACTTTACTATTTTGGAGCCATGGACTTATAGCAACCACCAGACCACTTTAGAAAAAAAACATCTTCATGTATTTGATCCATTTAAGACTTGTTCAGTGCAACGCTAACCAAGGAAGCTCAATTTATAGGACTCCTTTCCCTCAAACAGATTTATTTACTTTCAACTACTTTTACTGAACGACAAGACAGATCAACAACAATAATCAAGCAAATTCACTCTCCCAGAAGCCTTCAAGCCATTTATCAAGGGAAAGGTTTACAAGACCTTGCCTTGTCCTGGTGGGATTGCACACAACTAACTAGTGTTAGTTAAGGTCCTTCTCTTCAATTCCTGACTAGCACAGTAATCACTGATAGCTGGAAAAAAAACCAAAACAACAATGGGATGACAATTATACCACTATTCTTCTCAAATCAGACGCACAGCAAGCACAGAACAAGAGGAGGGTCAAGATCACTCAGTAATGAACAGCTAGCCCTTGGACTACAAGTAATGACCGCACTAGAACTTTCCGCTAAACTTGTGGGGCCTATTTGTTCTTTTTATGGTCTATAAAATCTATCCGAGCATACAGTTACTTATAATTATTTCAAATAGCCATAAAATATCAAAAGTAAGAAAAGCACGGAGATGCACCATGCGAGCGTGGAAGAGGGAAGAGATGCAGCATTTATTCTCAGTGGGTTCTTTCCCCAGCCCCTGACTCTTAAGGGCTCCCCTTTTAGTGGAGGTAGGTGCTGACTGCTTTGAGAAATCACATACAAAGCTGCTCTTTTGCTTCGGATTAGGGTCCCAACAACCCTTGGCTGTAGATATGATCAGCGGGAGGGAGATAACTGGAGAGAAAAAGCTTTGAGGTTAGCATTCTCAGCCTTACTGCAGGCTCCTGTATAATGACTAATTTGCAGCATACACCCAGAAATATCGAGGCTTCATGAATTAATAAAGACAGTGCACACTTTGCCTGTGAGAAGCCGTAAAGTGAGCCTCTTGTCAAAATGCCAAGACAAAGCAGAAGAGAAACACACTCCAGGATGTGGCCAGTGTATGAGTAAGCAAGAATTCCCTTACTTGATATCCACTCAGGAACTGCAAAGGTCTTAAAACACGATAAAATAAAACACATATGAGAATAAACAAATGCCATTTCCCAAGGGCAGAATTCAAAAGATGCACTTAACAATGAAAATGTTTCTACCTTTGGGGTCAGATCACCTACAACTGGTGTGTGACATGTATTTTCATGCCAGTTACTCTAAGTGCTCAAGGATTCCTGGTCTAAAGCTTTCATCATTTTTGAATGAATCGGACATAAAAGACTAACTACACAAGACAGCTTCCTTCACGCCAGGACTGTGAATCTGCAGCCCAGCCTCCAGTTTATAATAAAGGAAATGAGATATGAAGCCGAATTGAGCAAACTATAGAGCCATATGGGGCACCGAGGCAAATGATATGGGCCCAGACGTAAAGCATATGGCGGTCCATCTGCGGGCAGCACTTGCTAGGCTCCCTGGTCTGGAAAAGAACCCCTGCATTTCAAAAGCACTCGTCTTCAAAGAGATCCCTCAAAAGGAACTCCACTTCAACAAGTTCACAGCAACGAGAGCCGTGCAAGACCTTTGGGTTCAAGCTAAGTGTGAACATATACTGAGATTCTGAAAGGGACCTCATGTTCCAAATTCTTTACTCCAGTTTCTTATGCCTTACACAGGGCCAGGAAGGAAATCTTCAGGAACTACTCTCCAATCCTGTCACGGCCCTAGAGCAACCATATCCAAGCTGCCAAAGAGACGGGAGCTCAAGATAGCATTTCAACTTCTCTTTCACGATTTGACACACAATGGATACATATTTTTCTCCCCAACACTCCTGAATACTGACTGGCACATTAGCAAAAAGTTTCCATGAAACCACATGCAGACATTTTTCTAAGGTTTGAAAGCTACTAATTTAAAGCCTTAATTATCCCACAAGTAGCTATTACATTTTTAGTACGACCAGTCCATTTCCGCAAGCGACAGTGTTAAAACGCAGCCGTTACACCACCTCGAAGGGCTGCCTCTTCAATATCACTTTACTCCAGTCCATAAAAAGACCTCCCGGCTATTTTAGCATGGTTGGTATGCCTTAACAAGTAAAAATTTCTCAGTACAGCTGAGTGACATTAAACTAGCTTTCTCCAGAACAGAGCGTTGTGAGTTGTCATCATAAACACAGGGAAAAGGCCTCCAAGGAAATCTATCTAATGCTCTCGTTTTTCAAGCAGAAGGACAATGATTCTTCTGATTTTTTTGTATTAAAGGGGAAGTCTAAAAAAGAAATTGTACTTATTTGTAAAGAAAACAAAAATAGGCATCACATATCACAAGGTTCAGGTTCAGGTTTATTACCAGAGGAGCACATTCCTCAGTGCTTCGTCGTCGGCAGAGGCCCTGCGGACCTCCACACGCAAGCACACATCTGTCAAGCCCGCTAGGAACCGAAAATACGAGGCTAGCCTCAAAGCACCTTTTCAGTCGGCCAAACTCTGTGCCGAGAGCAGCTTTGGCAAAACAGAAAGAAATCCCGGATAACTTAAGTTCCTTCGGAATCCACCCCAAACTCGGGTGAAAAAAATCTTTGCACGGGGTGCGATTCCCAGCCTCGCCACCACCCACAGCAGCAGAGGAGCGCAGCACAAGGCTCTGTTCTCCGCTCGCAGGCGGTTAAGGCAGCGGAAACCCGATCCGCAGCGGGCTCCAGTAAACACCCCCGCGGAGAGCAATAAAGCCCCGGAGCGTTGGTCCCGCACGCGGCCCCCGCACGCTGGGATCCGCTAAGCGACTGTCGCTGGCGGAGGCCGGAGGCGGTCTGGCAGGACCCGAAGCCAGGGAACGCCGTGCTCGCCCGCCAGGGCCGTGGCGTCCCGGGGACCCAGAACAAAGCCCGCGCGGCCCGTTCCCCACCCGGCCGGCGCCTACCTGCGTGGAACAGCCCAAGGCTG